ATTATGCTAATAACTCTGAAGTGTAACACCGTGTCACCATTCAATACTATTCTGCTACCATTGACTTTGTATGCTGTGCCTTTATGCGCGGGCTTATTCATTCCATGACTAGAGCTTCATCTACATTCCTCTTCACCCATTTTCGCCTTTAGCCCCCACTCGGCTCCCTCTGTAAACCATCGGTTTGTTCTCGATTCTTGCTTTTTTTGTTTATTACTATTCATTGTTTTGTTTTTTATATAAATTGAAATCATGCAGTTTCTCTTTTCTCTGTCTGGCTTATCTCATATGCCTGTGGATTCATGTTGTCCCCAAATGTGATCTCATGCTTTATGACTTGCATAATATTCTGATGGCTATAGATATAGATGGCGTCTTTCCTTATCCATTTGTCTGTCGATGGACGCCGTTACTTCCATGTCTTGACTATTGTAAATGCTGCAATAAACATAAGGGGTGCATATATCTTTTTTTGAGTGGTGTTTTTGTTTTTTTCTTCAGATAAATATCAATTAAATTGCTAGATCTTAAGATGTTCTTTTTAATTTTTTTGAGAACTTCTACCTATTTTTCATAGTGGCTGCACCAACTATATTTCCACCAACAATTGCACAAGGATTCCTTTTCTCCACATCCTCTACTTGTTATTTCTTATCTTTTCATTCTAGCCATTGACTGGTCTTTTGATATCTATAGTTCAAATCAGGCCTTCATTGGAAGGGTACTTTCATCTGTAGTACACCACTATCTCTTTTTTTTAATATGAAATTTATTGTCAGATGGTTTCCATACAACTTCCAATTCTCATCCCAACAGTTGCCCCCTCAATACCCATCACCCACCTCCCTGTCCCACTCCCCCATCAACCTCAGTTTGTTCTGTTAGGTCTCTTATGGCTTTGGCTCCCTCCCTCACTTTTTTTCTTCCCCTCCCATGGTCTTCATTAACTTTCTCAGGATCCACATAAGGTGAAAACATATGGTATCTGTCTTTCTCTGTAGCTTATTCCACCAGCATAACACTCTCAGTTCATCGCATTACAAGGCCATATTTCATTCTTCTTTCTCATTGCGTGGTGATATATAAACCACAATTTCTTTATCATTCATCGGTTGTTGGGCTCTTTCAAAACAATTTGTGTGTTGAGAGTACTGCTATAAAACATTGGAGATTTCAAGTCGCCCCTATGCATCAACACTCCTGTATCCCCCTTGGGTAAATTCACAACGATTAACTGTTGCTAGATCATAGGGAGGAATCTATTTTTATTTTTTTTGAGGCGTCCACACTGTTTTCCAGAGTGGCTGCACAGTTACATCCCATAACAGTAAAGGGTTCCCGTTCTCCTCGCCAGCATCTATAGTTTCCTGATTTACTCTGACTGGCGTGGTGATTTCTGGTGTGAACTTTGATTTGTATTTCCCTGATGGTGACATTGAGCATCTTTTCATGTGCCTGTTATGCCATCTGGATGTCTTCTTTACGTGCATCTATATTTTCTGCCCATTTTTCTGATTGTTGTTTTGGTGTGGAGTTTGATACAGATTTTGGATACTAGCCCTTTGTCTGATATGTCATTTTACAAATATCTTTTCCCATTCGTTGGTTGCCTTTTTAGTTTTTTGTTGGTTGTTTCTTGCTGTGCAGAAGCTTTTTTTATCTTCTATGAGGTCCCAGTAGTTCATTTTGCTAATTCTTGCTGAGGATGTGTCAAGTAAGAAATTGCTGCAGCTGAGGTCAGAGAGGTTTTTTCCTGCTTTCTCCTCTAGGGTTTACCACTATCTCTTTAGACATTCCCAAAACCAAAGGATCCTGCCCTGAGGTCTAAACTCTACAGGCATGATAGTCTGGGGTTGGACGGTCTGAGTTCAGATCCCATCTTGGCTATCCTGGTTATATAACCTGAGTCATGCAATGCACTTACGTTTGCCTTAGTTTCTTCATCTGTAAAAATGGAGATCATTGGATCACAGGACTTCAAAGAGTTTAACCTTGTGTCGTGTACCTACTATGTATTATATCAATCCAGGTGCAAATAAAAGCAAAACCAAAAGTAACAAGGGAGAAGCTTGTATCCTGCAGATAAAGGTCGGGAAGTAGGTAGTATAGAGCTGGAGTGGAAGCACTACTCTGGGTTTTTGGAACCCAAGAGCCCTACAACTCACTCACTGCTCTAACATCCCCAGGATGGGGCTCTTGTGTTCATGTTCATGGCCTGGCTGGAGCCATCCACACACAAGGCAGCATGGTGTAGGAAAAAATGTAAGGGACAAAGAGCACCTGCCAGCCATCTCTTAAGGCATATTCCTGAGCTGCCCCACTCAGGGCACCACATCTATTTGTACTTCATTGGCCAGAATCTAATTATAAGTGGAAATGTCACCATTTTTCTGGGTGGCTACATGTTCAGCTATAATTCTATAGAAGGGAAATAGCTTAAGTAGATGGGGAGGAAATGGTTTCAGTGATTTCTCATGTTTTAGAGGTTGAATGGTTTAGAAACTGAAAGGAATAAATAAATAAATAAATAAATAAATAAATAAATAAATAATTTTAAACACCTCTGTCCATCTGTATTCACTGCAACACTCACTGTGGACCTATAGTTGTTCGAACAGCATGAAAAGTTCAGGATGGAACCCCAGGCTCAAGGATCTGCCATTCAGAGCATCTCAAGGCAGAATGGAGTACACCCAGCAACTAACACTAACAAGAGAAATTACATGGCATGCTGTAAGCTGCTTACAAATACTCATACACAACACCACAATATTGTCACCCATTCAGTGGAGTGACAAGCTTGCATTTAGAACACAATATTCATTGTAGTTCAGTGTACTAAGATATCTAGTAATCTATACTAATGTATCTAGTAATCTGAATTGCTAAGTAGATGGTCAAAAACAACAGGCCAAGAAGTAATTATGGACTGATCACCCATTCAGGCCCTATGACTCCAATTTGACAAGAAGCAATAAGACAAAGCAAAGCGATGTCTTAAGGATTATTTTTCTAGCTCCAATCAACACCCACAACACCCCCATCGTTTCTGTTGGAAATCCTCAAATGATAGACATTGTTCTTCCTGAAAACGTTAAGAAGCCAAGGCGCACACTCTACCAGAGGTAAAACAATCCATTACATGTTACAGAATACGTCCACAGGTGCCCTTCTCAACGCTTACATCTACTCTGCCCCACCCCCAAACACAACACACACACACACACACACACACACACACACACACACACCACTTCCTATTTCATCCTTGAGTTCCACAAGTTTCAGATCCCGCCACCAGGTGGCAGGAGTAATCAAGAATTAGCAGGAATTACCAAGAAGGTCCCAGAAAATGTCACGATTCTGGAAGGGATCATAAGAACACTGAATCAAAACTGTGGTATAGATGGGTAAACTGAGGCTGCAAAGCATCACACATGGAATTAGGGACCCCAGGGACCAACACCCTCTGTTACCTGTGCCCTGTATTTCCACCAACTTACACTGGGTTTTATAGCAAAACCTTGGATTGTGAGTAGCTTTTTTCGTGGGTGTTCCACAAATGAGCAAATATTTCTAATAAATTTTACCTTGATAAACGAGTGATGTCTTGCAATAAAAGCAGTATGTGATGCCAAACGTCACATGATCACAACTGAGCCAATGGTTCTTGAAATTTGCTTTGATATACAACTGCTTTGGATTACAAGCATGTTTCCAGAAAGAATTATGCTCACAAACCAAGGTTTTGCTGTACTTGTAACTTTTCAGCTTTATTTATGTATTCATTTTTATTTTAAAATTTTCAGCATCCATGAAAGTGAGAATAGTAAAATGAGTCCCTGACTGCCCACCAGCCCACCCCAATCAGCAAGCTTTGTCATCTTTCCATACCATACCCAGAGCCCCCTACTATATTTTTTACCAAATACTCAGATGTATTATGCCATACCAGTTAATGCAACATCAAAATTTCTGTGGTTCATTCATTCAACAACTAATCATTAGCAACAGCAACTAATGATGTGTGGGAGGCACTGTGCTAAAGTAAGATATGCAGCTGTGACACAAAAAGGCACTGTGGCAACCAGGCTTTTATGCATAAATCACATGTACGCTGCAAGTTAGATTTTATCCACATTTTATACACTCTTGTATTTTAATAGGTGGAAAATGCAACACGAGTTGGAATTGTAATTTTTATAGATCCTCGGGGCCAGACAGATCTAAAGTTAATATCAAAGTCATACACTTGTTCTTCTTTCAAAGACAAGGTCACAGCCGACAGGCCAAGCAGGATACATTTCCTGAAAAGCTATGGGGACCTACCTGACACGGTTTATCTACCTTGTTGCCTTACGTGGAATGAATTACCTTATGAAGGCAAGTTGGGATGAGATGGGAGAAAGATTGGACCCCCTCAAAACAGGTAAAAGAGCAATGAGCCAGGGGGTGTCAGTCATATGTCAAAACAGCACCTCAGGGGTAAGGACACTCCTCCAAGAGAACAGCTGACTCCCATCCAAAATGTAAAATCAAGACAGCTTGACAAAAGAAGGCATTTTCTGATTCTCATTACTAGGAGAGATTCCTTTAAGCTAAACAAAACACATTTTAGCATTTCAAAAATCTAACATCTAAGAAGAAAACTACATGGTCTACATTTTTCTTTATTTTATAAGTTGGAAACCTGTGGTATGTGAAGCCCCCTAGCCTCTTCTCTGCTTATTATAAAGTTACATGACTTAGATGGAGGCACCTGGTCCTCCTTTCTCTCTTCCTCAAGCTGAAGCACATCATTCCTTCCATCAGAACAGAACAGAGATCATCTGTTGATAAGCCTGAGATCCACTGGTCCTTTCTTTTTTCAGCTGACTCATCTAAACACCTCCTCTTTGCTGTCCCATCCCTCAAAATTCTTTTGGTACCATTTTATAAAAAGAACATTTGAGTTTCTTGATTCTGAAATTGTATTTTTGCAATCTGTACTTTTTCCTTAGAATGAAGATGACTTCGATGAAAAACAGAACACATCAGGAAACAACAACTCACTAAGGTGTAGAGCTGTGCAAAACACCCAGCAGGTAGGGCGGCGATGGTTGAGTGAATCTATTACCATAGTAACTGCTGTGCAACAGGGACGGACAGCTGTGGGGACAGAATGCATGTGCTCAGCTGGCACTCGGAGGAATGAATTAACTGGTAATTAGAATGTGTAAGGCAGAGTCGTGAAGAAAACACACGTGCTCAAACAAAGAGATTTTGTGTTTGTACACCTGTCCCCAGAGTTTTCTGCTGGCGAGAGTACATAGGCTTTCTCGGACACATCACTATTACAGATGCCAAACTCCATCGCAAAGCAAAAAGCACTGGCTTAAACCAAAGCATCTCGATTTTAAAGTAAGTGAGGCAGATGAAGAAGGTTCTAAGATGTGGTTCTAACACTATCCATCATGCCTCTCGAGTTCCTCAGTGATGCCTAAGCTTACAGCAGGCTGAGGCACTCTGTCGCAAGGCTACTTTTATTTCTTTTATATATTGAATTCTGGGTAGGCTCTCATTTGGAGAAAGGCTTCTGTTGCTAAAAATCAAGCAGATTATTCATGTAGATCATCCTTTTTTGGGTAATTCTGGGTGCCTAATATCAAGCCATCTATTGGAGGGAGTTATTCTCAGAGATAAAAAGAATAACTTGTTTAAAGTAGATTATGTGGGAAATTATTGCAGCAAAATTTGGAAGACAGAAAACGTGACCTGTAAAATTCCAGGAAAAAATCAGTGCCTAACATCTTAAAACGTGGCCCTTTAGTGCAAATATACACTGCCATGCACATGTCACTTATATTGGGATCATGCTATCCATATTCTTACTGTCTATTTTACTTAATATATTATAAAAAAGTGTTCATTTCCCTATTTATGCAACAAAACAAGAGAAAACAATACTTATGTCCATATAAAACCTGCACATAGAAGTTTATAGTAACATTATTCACAATTGCCAAAACTTGGAAGCAGTCAAGATGTTCTTCAGCAGGTGAATAGATAAATGAACTGTGGTTCATCCAGACAATGGAATATTCTTCAGCACTAAAAAGATATGATGAACCCCCAAGCCATGAAAAGACATGGAGGAACATTAAATATGTACTACTCATTAAAAGAGGCAGTCTGAAATGACTACATACTGTATGATCCCAAATATATGACAAAGGAAAAGGGAAGACTGTGGAGACAGTAAAAAGACCAGTGTTTACCAAGAGGAGAGGGTGGGATACATGGGCAAAGCACAGAGGATTTGGGGGGCAGTGAAACTACTCTATGTGATACTATTATGGTGGATACATGTCATTATGCATTTGTCCAAACCCATAAGATGGACAACACCAAGAGGGATCCCTAATGTAAACTATACATTTTGGGTGATAATGTGTCACTGTAGGTTCATCAATTGCAACAAGAGGCGGTGATCATGGGGGAGGCTATGCATGAGTGGGGGCACAGGTGTATGGGGAACTTCTCCTTATCATTCAATTTTGCTGTGAACCTGAAACTGCTCCTTAAAAAAATGAAGTCTTTTTTTATTGTTTCACAAAACAATCAAAAACAAAAAATTAGATAATTTACTGTTATACACAAGAACATAAAGACTGAGGAAGATCTGCCACATTGGGCACCAATGGTCCTTGGGTGATCTTGGCAGAGGCCATCTCAATAGAAGCCTGATCACAATGGACTGAGTAGGATGTAAGGGTCACTAAAAGTAAAGGCAACTCTCTCCAGCAGTTTGGCTGTGAAGAGAAGGAGGGAGGGTAGATGTCCTATGACTATGGGGTCAAGGAGATTTTGTTGTTGTTGTTTTCGGTTTGTTTTAAAGATGAGGATGGGTGCTCACTGTGGCAGCACACATATAAAATTGGAATGACAGGAAGAAGACCGGCAGGCCCCTGCACAAGGATGACATGCAAATTCATGAAGCTCCCATATTTTTAACACACACAAACACACACACACACAAATCCCACAAAAAAAAAAAAACAACTAAAAAATGGGCAGAAGACATGAACAGACATTTCTCTAAACACACAGATGGCCAATGAACATATGAAAAGACATTCAACATCACTCACCATCAGGGAAATGCAAATAAAACCACAATGAGATATCACCTCACACCTGTCAGAATGGCTAAAATTAAAAACACAAAAAACAACAAGTGTTGGTGAGGATGTGGAGAAAAAGGAACCCTCATGCACTGTTGGTAGGAATGGAAACTGGTGCAGCCACTCTGGAAAACAGTATGGAGCTTCCTCAAACACTTAAAAATAGAATTACCATATGATCCAGTAATTACACTACTGGGTATTTGCCTGAAGAATATGAAAACGCTAAATCAAAGGGATACATACACCTCTATGTTTATTGCAGCATTATTTACAAAGCCAAACTATGGAAGCAGCCCACGTGTACACTGATAGAAGAATGGTTGAAGAAGAGGTGAGATAGATAGATACACAGATACATAGATAGATAATGGAATATTACTCAGCCATAAAAAGAATGAAATCTTGTCATTCGCAGCAACATGGATGGATCTAGAGAGTATAATGCCAACTGAAATAAGTCAGCCAGAGAAAGACAAATACCATATGATTTCACTCATATGTGAAATTTAGCAAGCAAAAGAAATGAACAAAGAAAAAAAGAGACAAGCCAAAAAACATGCTCTTAACTATAGAGAACTGGTAGTTACCAGAGGGGAGGTGGGTGAGGCATGGGTGAAATAGGTGAAGGGAATTAAGACTACACTTATCATGATGAGCCCTGGAATTGTTGACTCACTATATTATACACCTGAAATTAATATAACACTGTGTGTTAATTATACTGGAATTACGATTTTTGAAAAAGAAAAAATCTTTACCAATCTGATAGGTAAACATTAATTAAACAAACAAATAAAGATGGGAATGGGTGTGGGAATAAAAGAGAATAGTTAATGCCAGGCATTCCATTGATAGTAGGTAACTTGAGACAATTTCACTGTAAGAAAATAATAATCATGATTAATTAAGTCAAATAATTGTCAAACTTTAACTACTGGCTAAGCTAGGTGTTAGATGGGAATGAAATGAATAAGGCTTATCTCTACCCCTATCCTCAGCAGCTGCAGCTTGGACCCCACTGGTCTCTCCTTCTGTTATCCTTCACCAGAAAATGAAGTTAGTCTAAATGTAAAGTATAATGGAGTTTGGCAGCAAAGGACTCTATGATCTTTGAGAATCCTTTCAGCTCAGAGATATGCTTGTGACTTATTTCGAGGAATTCTCTTACAGTCCAGATCAATCAATGGCCACCTGGGCTATGACAGAAAATAAAAGCTGAGATATGACTTTATCTGTCTTACAGCACATTCAAACCACTCTGCATTTGCATACTTCTTTGCCACTTTCCCTCACCATTGCTTACGGTAGCTGGACCTATTTGAGATATTATTGCAAAGTGGTGGAAGGCAGGAAATCCTCTATGCTATCCTGAGAACAGGACGGGTCATGGATATTTAAAAGTTCAAACAGTGGGGGGCGGGGGTGGCACCGGGTGGTTCAGTCGGTTAAGTGTCCAACTTTGGCTCTGGTCATGATCTCGCAGCTCGTGAGTTCAAGCCCCATGTCGGGCTCTGTGCTGGCAACTCGGAGCCTGGAGCCTGCTTTGGATTCTGTGTCTCCCTCTCTTTCTCTCTCTCTCTGCCCCTGCCCCACTCGCACTCTGTCTCTCTCTCTCTGTTTCTCAAAAATAAATAAACATTGAAAAAAAATTTTTTTGAGTTCAAACAGTATCTAGAAAGATAGCCCAGGTATATACTTCATTAATTAGAGCAAGGGTTAGCTAACAAAGGGAAATACTTCCCTTTAGCCCAACTGATAGGACCCTAGTTCCCAAGGGAAAGTTAATCAGCTCTTGATGATACTAGGCTAGTGGTCACGTTTGCAGGCCAAGCTTTGGGCTGTCAGGAAAATAAAGCCAGCCTTGGTCTCAGTCCTTTGGGAAACAGGGTTGACAGAGTTTAAAAGGAGATTTATACAGCCTCTGATATAAACTTCATTTAGCACTTGGCTGAGAACAGAGCAGGGGTTGAATGATTACAGTAGAGAAAGGAGCAAAAAGCATAGATATGAGCCTATTCCCTAAAGGAAAGAAGAAAATACCAACAGCTCCTTTGGAAGAAAAAGGAGAGAGAAGTGTGATCCTGTAGGTTTTGTGTAAAGGGAAAAATGCGCAAGTAGATAATAGGAGCTATATTCTTGCATAATAATTTTAAAAGACCTTTAGAAAGTCCTTTGCCAATGAAAAAGAATGAAATCATGCCATTTGCAGCAACGTGAATGGAACTGGAAGATATTATGCTGAGTGAAATAAGTCAGAGAAAGACAGATATCATATGTTTTCACTCATGTGGATCTTGAGAAATTTAACAGAAGACCATGGGGGAAGGGAAAGGAAAAAAATAGTTACAAACAGAGAGGGAGGGAGGCAAACCATAAGAGACTCTTAAATACAGAGAACAGACTGAGGGTTGATAGGGCTGGGGGGTTGGGGGATAGGGGAAAATGGGTGATGGGCATTGAGAAGGGCACTTGTTGGGTTGAACACTAGGTGTTGTTATGGAAGTGATGAACCATGGGAATCTACCCAAAACCAAGAGCACACTTTACACACTGTATGTTAGCCAATTTGACAATAAATTATATTAAAATAAATAAATATTTAAAAATTAAAAAAATAAAATAAAATGCAGTCCATAAAAAAAGTCCTTTGCCAAAATTCTAAGCAAAAAGAGATCAGGGTTCATTATGCCCAGAATTCTCATTATTCCATCTCTGCTGCAATGTTTGATTTCCAGGACGAAGAGCAGGTCACCATTGAGCAGGATTCTTTAAGAAACAAAGAAGATGTGGAGGATGATCCAGAGGCACATCAAAAAGGGTACAGGTTTAAACGGAGAAATAACCATACTGACCTCCTTTTTGGTTTTGCCACTTTGTTTTATCTTCATCTAATTTTAAACACTTATTATTATTTATTGGATATTACCACCACTACCACCCATTTCCCTTCCCCACTACCCGCCCAACACTATTTCCAGAAAAATTAATGGATCTCTATGATAATCACCATGGTAAATTCAAACTGCTAATGTCCTGGGAACCCAATATCCAGGACAGTCTTCTAATTAAAGGCATAAATTACTAACTAATTGCTCCAGTCCACGCAAAAGTAGTTAATTCATCTTCTCAGTGTCAATCAATAAGCAATTGATTTCTCGGGGCGCCTGGGTGGCGCAGTCGGTTAAGCGTCCGACTTCAGCCAGGTCACGATCTCGCGGTCCGTGAGTTCGAGCCCCGCGTCGGGCTCTGGGCTGATGGCTCAGAGCCTGGAGCCTGTTTCCGATTCTGTGTCTCCCTCTCTCTCTGCCCCTCCCCCGTTCATGCTCTGTCTCTCTCTGTCCCAAAAATAAATAAACGTTGAAAAAAAAAATTAAAAAAAAAAAAATAAGCAATTGATTTCTCAAAACCCAATCCACATTAAGTCCCAACAAACTTGCTCTGACCGTAGTATCCTGAAGGTATTCCAAGTTCTTACTGCCCATGAGGTAAGAGAGGCAAATTATTTTTATTTTTTTGACCAGGAAAATGAAGCTCAGAAAAGTGACTTACTCAAGGTTAGCTAGAGAGGAACAAAGATAACTTAATGTCAGCTTCTGATTCCTAGCCCAAGATTGTCTGGTACTCTGTCATAACACTCAAGTATTTATCAAGTTTCTAAATTCCTATTTAAATTTTGTTTAAATTTCTATGTCTCTGAGGAACTTTATTTTTATGCATCAGAAGATATCTCTGGAGTTGGTCAGAATTAAGATTAAAAGCTCTTGTCACATTTACATCATCAAAAATATTTACTACCTCAGAAACCTGAGCTTTGTTCCATCTTTCATTATGCTTTACGGACCTCTGACTCCAGGGGCTGAGTAATTCTCTTGGGTGGTCAGGTTTCACTACTGTTAATGGGATGGAAGCAATCACCAAGAGGCTGAGAGTTGCCTAGCCATGATAACCAAATGGCCGAAGCCTCTATTTCTAGCTACTTATTTTATGCAGTGTGAGTTGTCATGGACCACACATATTCCCTGCAATTAAAGAATCTGATCAATCCAACCCAAAGTATATGAATGTGTCCAATGAAATGTTGCCCTCCACCGCTGCCACTTTGAAACACTATCAGAAACTGAAGATGATGCATCATCAACCTTTCCTAAATTAGACGATGAAAATTTAGTCTTTACTGAACTTTGATTCCCTCAATATCTTCTGGATCAGTGTTTCCAATTCTCAGTACATGTATTCACACACATACACAACACCAAAGTTTTCATGAAATAAGACATCATTACTGTGAGTGATATGCTCTTATCAGTCCTATTCTTTCTTATTAAAGATGGGTGTCAGGGCATCTGGGTGGCTCAGTCAGTTAAGCATCTGACTCTTGATCTCTGCTCAGGTCATGATCTCATGGCTCATGGATTCAAGCCCTGTGTTGGGCTCTGCACTGTCAGTGTGGAGAATCCCTGCTTGGTATTCTCTCTCTCTCTCTCTCTCTCTCTCTCTCGCTCTCGCTCTCGCTCTCCCTCCGTCCTCCCCTCTCTGCCCCTGCTCCTCGCTTTCTCTCTCAAAATAAATAAATAAACTTTAAAAAATAATAAAAGCTGTACATCTATTTAAAAAATAAAATAAGGGGCACCTGGGTGGCTCAGTTGGTTAAGCGGCCGACTTCAGCTCAGGTCATGATCTCACGGTCCGTGAGTTCGAGCCCCACGTCAGGCTCTGTGCTGACAGCTCAGAGCCTGGAGCCTGTTTCAGATTCTGTGTCTCCCTCTCTCTCTTCCCCCCCACCCTGTTCATGCTCTGTCTCTCTCTGTCTCAAAAATAAATAAATGTTTAAAATAAAATTTTTTAATAAAAAATAAAATAAAATAAAGATGAGTGTCACACACTGTGCCTTCACAACCCACTAATGGGTCCTAACCCACAGCTGTAGCATGCTATTCCAAATAAGCAACACACACTCCCACTTCATTTATCTAGTAATGCAACAAATGCCCATCAAGCACACTAATGTCCAAGGTCCTAGTGCCATTGGGCTCACATCTGCTCTCCAGGAAGTTAGCCAGTCAAGCCTTTATCACAAAATGAAATCAAAGGAGACAGTAGGAGTAAAGCACAGAGGAATGACTCTGTTCAAGGAGATGCAAGAAGGTGTTGTAGGAGCAAGGGGCTTGGGCTGTGCCCTGAAACTTGCACAGGGGCCGAGACTTGGACATGGACGCACAGCTACTGCAAAATGGACAAGTGGAGGCATTAGCAAGTGAGTCCTTTGGAATCCCAGAGATGAGGAATCTCCTACATAGGACTAGAAGTGACCTAGAAGTGGCAATGATTGTGTGAATAAATTCCTTCCTCCATTGGGAGAAGAGGTCTCTGTTAGAAGGGGCAGTGAGAAAAGAGGCAAATGTATGAAGCCAGACCTCAGGGGAGGCATGGAGGGAACCAGGAGAACCCTGGGAGAAGCAGAGCATGGTCATTGTGGGTATGGGCCTGGGCCCCTCCAAAGTCACTTGCTGATGGCCACCATCCCCCCAGCACAAGTGCCCAGATCCCCATATTGCTCACTCACTAGCCACCACCCCCTAACAAAGCTCTGGACAGGAACAAAGATGTGCCAACAATGCCAGAACTTTTGAGAAAGCTACCTTACAACTTGCTGGCTAATAGCTCTGAAATCCACAAAATCCTCCTTTATATTTCAAGCACCCAGTGAAATCTGTCAGTCTCCCACTAAAAAACATGGTGAGCCAGGACAGGGAACCACCAACTTACTCAAACTTTGTGAGGCCAAAAGGGATGACAATTCCTTAAATCAACGTTTCATATCCGAAGCTTAAAAGCTATCAGAGGCCCACATAGTCCCGTGAGAAACAGTCTTCTCCTACCATTTATTTCCAGCTTTTGGTTAGTTATCCATCTCCCCCGCTCTGTTTTCAGAAGCATGTTTTCTGCATCTCTGTAAGCCCTCAGGGCTTGGCACATCCACGCAGCAAACACTGATCCAAGCTATGGCTGATTATAGTCTAAAAGGATATGAGTATCCCATTTCTATTTTGTAGGACATCCACTTCATCCATCTGTTCGTTTGCTTCCTTGATTTACAAAGCCTCATCTAGCTTAGTATGTCAGTTTATTTCATGTTTTTGATGTTACCTTCTGCCTGCCTTTTTGCTCTTGTGTTGTTACAGGTATCTGGAAAGGAAGTATGATACAGTTTGTGATTTTTATAAGAAACACAAAACCACCCTTCAGTACATCCTCTGGGGCATCTTAATAGTAGGTAAATAACAAAAGGGGGGTGGATGCCAGTGTCTTTGTTTGAGAATATTCCAAATAGTAGCTTTCTATAGAAAAAAAATAAATCTTTCTGTTCCCCCTGGACCTTGGTGAATCCAGAGAAGTTAATCCAGAAGCTCCTGAGTGGTGGGTCTCAACTGTGGTTGCCTATGCAGATTGTTTCCCTGTTTGGTTTATGTAGCTAGCATCTAATTAGGTTCCCTACTCTTACAGCCTTGGTTGTTGTGATATGGATTTAAGGGCTAGTTCATGCAAATCCAGAAAACAGAAAACTAGAAAACATGGTGATAAACACAAGATGGGGACCTAATCACAGGAGACGATATAAGCAATTAATACTTCATGCAAATGCAATGTGAGCAGGAGCCTAGGGTCATGCAGGTCACCCCTCCTGCCTGAAAGCAAGACCACACTATCTTCATAGATGAGCAGGTCCCCTATTTTTACTCCCTCCAAAGCAAAGAGTTCTGCAGCCCATTTTGAATAACACCCCTGTCTATAAAATGTGAACCGTTGCACCCAAGTCCATAGACGTTAACCCAAGACTCTTGCACCTCCAAGGTCAGTGGCTTTGTTGGTGCTCAGATATCTGAAACAAGGAAAAGCAGGGTTTAAAGCTTCCTCTACACTGGGCCAGGTAGTATTTTAGGCTTTTCAGGCCATGCGGTGAAAGCCACACAACTCTGTCCTTCTAAAACAAAAGTAAACAGACAGGCGTGATGGTATTTCCATGCAATTTTATTTGTAGATTCAGACACAAGTATACAAACACAACTGTACTTGGAACCTACAAAGATAAGTGGTAGGCCCGATTTAACCTGCAGACCATGTTGGCTGACCTTTCTGGGACACCCTGTTCTTATCCTAGAATCTCCTCTTCAAAAGCAGCCACCTTGGTAATTATCCCTCACCCCTTTCTTTAGAGATTCTTTGGAACTCAGAGATGGTTGGAAGGCCTATTTTCCCACTGAAGCGTAGGCCAAATCTGAGCTGCAAACCAGGAGAATCAATACCTTTTTGCCAGTGGTTGCTTCAACACCTAGCCTTTCTCTGATAGAAACTCCCCTGCTGAGTCTGAATACCCAAAAATAGGAGTTAGTACTGAGAGACCCAACAATCAAGCATCAAGATTCAAGAACTTGAGGTTCTATGAGAAAACAGACCTAGCACTCTGTCCTTCCTGCATTCATGGTGAGACTGTTAGGGAATTACTGTGAAAAAAACAAAATCCTAAAAATATATAGTACAGATAATTACATGAGTCAATAGCCCTATCAAGAGCAATCCTGCATTCAATGGTTTCTTGATTGAACCTCTCCTTGGCTGAGCCCCATCAGTGCTAGAGGCTGGTCTGCACCTGGTATTGGTGATGCCCCCTGTCTGTGCTTGCTTTCTCGACAGGTTACCTGGCAATGGTGATTGCAGCTTGTGCGCTGAACTTTCATAGAGCCCTTCCCCTTTTCGTGATCACCGTGGCTGTCATCTTCTTTGTTGTCTGGGATTACTTTATGGCCAAATATGAGCAACGAATCAATGAGTGTCTATCTCCTGGCAAAAGGCTCCTAAACAGCCATTGGTTCTGGATGAAGTGGTAAACTCACTCCGTTCCCTTGTTGCATTTGAGAGAAATGTTAGTCTTTTCCAACACTGTTTCCAAAAACGTGTTCTGAAATTGGTCCCTCATTTATAGGCTATTGAAACTAGAAATAACCTGGGGAATAATCTGCTATAATACCTTCATTTTACAAACAGGAAATCAAAGCCTAGATAGGGCAATGACTCGTTCAAGATATGTTCAAATGTCCCTGCAAACTGCTTTAATTCCAAGTGCCACTAAATGATAAAATATTGTCCAAAAGAAAGGGCAGTTCTTACTTGGGGAGGTGGCTTTCTGATCTGGGCCTGAAGCTGGCCTCTTTGAAAGTAAGACCCTGTGAATATAAAAGTTGACTCTTTCCTATAAGACCCCATATCCATATCCGATGAGTGACTGCTCAGAGCTTTTCTTTCAGCCTTTTTCTATGGGACCTCCTCTTCCTCCAGGTGACCCTAGTGGATTAGACACAAGACAGGTTCTCCCCAGAATGGCACTCAAGGGATGTACCTGGAAAGTTCACATATCCTTGACCTAACAACGTAGGATTGTTCAATCCCAACACAGCACACTTTCTGGCTCTGCCATCCAAGCTGTGAGTCAAACTTGTCATGCCCACTAGATCCGCCAAGGAGTCATAACACTTCCTGAAGTCTAACTTACTCTGTGAGGCTCAGCTGGAGTCCTCCAACTTCAGAGAGCACATTTCAAGTTCTCCCTTAAAGGGCAGAAGGTTACATCTCTCCCATCTCCCAAAATGGACATGAGAACTCACAGAAGATCTCCCAAAGAAACCACTAGACTTCCCTCTCTAAACACCCTTTCTCATCTCTGGCCCCTTTTTATGATCCTGAACGAATGAAGAGCCCAAGAGTTTTGGAATGTGCTTAATCCAGTGCTTAATTTTTGGCTATCTGCCTTGATAGCCACAACCAAAGAGGGTTTGTGCCATGTCTAGAAGCATAATTTCCTGGTGCCAGGGTGTTACTCTTAATAAATTTTTTGTTTATTAGTTTAAGTCTGATTTTAAGATTTTCAAGTTAGCAGCGCAAACGATGCTGATGCCCCCTTTCCAATTTTCTTAGGGTGATTTGGAGCTTACTGATTCTGGGTGTTATATTCTGGCTCATCTTGGACACCGCCAAACTGGGCCAACAGCAGCTGGTGTCCTTTGGTGGGCTCATAATGTACATTATCCTGGTATTTATATTTTCCAAGCACCCAACCAAAGTAAGTATGAAATCAATCTTTTTCAGCTTTTTCCCTCTTTTTTTCCCTCATGTCTAAATTGCTCAAAATAATGAGTGTGAGAGAATTTCACTGTTACTCAATATTAGTCTTACCTTGTTATGCTCTTTTAAGTGGCTAGGGCACCTTCCTTCCCGAACTTGCTTAGTACTAGTTCTCTCTCATTTATCATTCTCAGTAATTTTCCAGTTACATCACCAGTGAGGGGTTCTCTCCTGTCAAGTCTAATTTCTACTCATGTCCTCCACCTCCCTCCATCAAACATGCTAAGAAAATTCATCTGTTTTGATCCCGATCTCCCCGGACCAGTAAATAATCTAATATTCTACCATTGGATTCTGTAGTTTATCATATTTCCACTTGCAATTTAGGTTATTTTACTGCAAAAATCTGTCCTTAAACAGACCAGATTTGTTCCCACTGAATTCAATCCCTATCCTCATTCTGACAGCCTGTAACCCGTTAAATGGGCAAGAATTTGGAGACATCCAGGCTTTCACACATGACTCAGAATGGCAAACTCCGGAAGACTTTACTGGCTGAAAGGTTGGCCCAAGAAGAAGGTCACGTAATAAGATCCAAAGTCCTTGCCCTGCTAGGGTCAGCATCGCTGCTGATTGGTCTGCCTCCAGTTCTTCAGTTCTCGGCAGCCCACTCGTCTCTGCACCAAAAATGAAGGCAGATGATTGTCCATTACTGCTGTACTCCCTGGGTCTGCATTAGAGTTAATTGGTTCCTTTTACAGTGAAATGAGAGCCCCTCAACAGGGAGGAATTTCACTTAATTCACTTACAAATTGTCAGATGAACAAACCTTGGGCACACAGAGAAGTCATGCTCTGCCTTTCCATTTTCCAGACAGGGGAAATAATTATATGTCTCTCACATTTATAGCACAACTAAGAGGGCCAGATCCTTCCTTCCTCCTTTGATTGTCCTTCTAAGACTCCTCTTTGTGTCTAAGTCATTTTGTCGTGATATAATGATAATTGCATACCTTCCGGAGACTGAAGTCTTCGAACTCAGGATTGGGATGATGGAATGCAGCGCCAAGATCTGGGGCCGTGATTCTCTGCTCACAAGTGCTTTGGCCTCTCAAAGATGGATCACAGGCCATGTGTGAGAAGCTTCCGAGGAAATAGTAATCCTCTGGGTGTTTATGCTGAGCTTAGCCATTCATTTTCTAGTGACACCTATCTCTTCATCTTTCTGCATAGGTTTACTGGAGGCCTGTCTTTTGGGGAATTGGGTTACAGTTTCTTCTTGGGCTCTTAATCCTAAGGACTGAACCTGGATTTATGGCTTTCGATTGGTTGGGTAAACAAGTTCAAGTAAGTTGGGTTTAAATGAACACCTTGCTTGTAAATTCTTTTTTAACATTTGGATATAATCCTCAAGACATGTCAGAAATAGGTTTATTTGTCTGCATTAGTTGACCCACATTTTTGTGTAGAATATGTTAATCTGTCTAGTTTATTAATATTACAGTTGTCCCTCGCCCAATCATCCACTACATCACTCCCCATCCTGATTGCCCCTTCATCCTGGCCCAGGGGTGTCACACTTCTAAGATAGTTCCACAAATAGAGAAACAAGCTTTCTTTGCATGGAGTGATAGCTAGTGCCACCTATGTCCCATCTATGACTTGCTGCAACAAATTGCCACACCTGGTTCCTTTGAGTATCCTGGAGTCAGATTAAATGTCACAAGTGACAGGAAATCTGTATGCAGGTATAGTTCAAAAATACACTTCCTAGGACACCTGGGTGGCTCAGTCATGTAAGCATCCGACTCTAGGTTTCAGCTCAGGTCATGATCTCACAGTTCATGAGTTTGAGCCCCGTGTCAGGCTCTATCTCAACAACACAGAGCCTACTTGGGATTCTGTCTCCCTCTCTCTCTCTGCCCCCCACCCTGCTGGCTCTCTCTCTCTCTCTCTCTCTCTCTCTCTCAAAAACAAATATATAAACATTTTATTTTTTTAATTTTTTTAATGTTTATTTATTTTTGAGACAGAAAGAGACAGACCGTGAGCAGGGGAGGGGCAGAGAGAGAGGGAGACAGAATCCAAAGCAGGCTGTAGGCTCCGCGCTGTCAGCACAGAGCCCAATGTGGGGCTCGAACCCATGAACCGCGAGATCATGACCGGAGCCAAAGTCGGATGCTTAACCGACTGAGCCATCCAGGCGCCCCTTTTACTTTATTTTATTTTTTAAACATTAAAAAAAAATACACTTCCATGCCATCTACTGGAGGGGGAGAAAGGTTGTAAAAATTTACTTTCCACCTCTATCCAGCAAGTTTGCTGGGCTTCCCTTCTGCAGAGCCTGGGAGGTCCTGTGGACTGTAACCACCAGTTCCATGGTTGTAATGATCATGTGCCCTTTTCCTTTCTTTAACTCAGACCTTCTTGGAGTATACTAACGCTGGGGCTGAATTTGTCTTTGGTGAGACATATGCAGACCACTTCTTTGCATTTAAGGTAAAGCTAAACCCCTTTTCTAAGTATTACTTCCTTGTCAGTAGCTTCTCAATCTTTGTAGATGTTCCAATAGAATCTGACCCGAAACCAGATATATACCTGCTGGGCATGTCCTACATGGATAGCACATCACCACCTTTTTCGATTTATCTGATTTTATCTGAAGTCAGTGGATTGTAAACATTTTACTTTGTTACTATAGCACTGAGGGAAACATCTAGAAATATACAAAAACTTTTGAGGGGGCTCATAGCATTGCCTGAGATACTTTTGAGAAATCATATGGGGTAACAGCATCTGAAGCATCAGGGAAAAGAACATTTGGTACCTGGCAATGAACAGGCATATGGCCACTGATAGCTTCCAGGCCAGGGATCAGAGACAGCCTTGTGCTCCGGAACCCCGTTTCCCAAAAAGAGACAGTTGCTCACTCGTATCAACCTCTGTTCTTCCAGAGCCATCTCCGTGCTAAACCTTTTGTGTCTTTCCTTCAGTACTGCAAGCCTGGAGGCTGGGCCTTCTCCCAACCAAAGGAGGGACATTATTCTCCAAGGGAAAGGCAACCTGGCCTGCCAGTGCTCCCACAAGCCCCAGGAAGCTCACTGTCCCCAGCGAAGCCCCTACAAATACTTGTTGATGAGTCAGAAAGATAAATTTGGCTTTGCCTTCAGCATTCTTTGTTGTGGTGTTATTGTTCCTACACATCTAAATTGTTTTCTCACTTAGGGTCTCTAAGTTTACCTCCAAACTACCCCATCTTCAGTTAGGCCAACTTTTATGCTGAATCTTTTTTTTTAATTGCTGAGTTTTGTTTTTTTTAAATGCTGATTTGACACTTTGGTTGCTAAGATGACAAAGCCATCTCCCAAAGGCCAAGTGTTTACAAACTGAGACAGAAATATGCTCATATCATGAATTGAACCCAGAATTGGAAAAAGAAAGTCACAAGGAAGGCATACCTTGATGCCCAGACTACACCAGTGTCTTTAGACTTTACCTACCCACCCACGCACCCACCACCTCCCTCTCCCCCAGAGAGGTGGCCTCTGTCCTCCCAGCCAAAGCAGAATCCCTGTGGGAACATTCAAGAGATAAGCTCCTTGAATTCCCTGAAGCTTTCAGGAAGGCACTGCTTGCCCATTAAAGCCAATAAAAGCACAGAAGTGACTGAGCTCTGCATAATGGCACAAAATATCTTTTGATATATATTATTAATAAATTTTTCTAGATCAGATCCTGTACAAATTGTCCTCAGTCATTCTGTGCCTCTGGTGGCAGTATGTCCCTGGCCATTTAGCTGGGGAACAGAGGAGAAGGGTTACAGAGGGGTAGGAGTGTGGGGGGACCCAGCCCACAGTTCTGTGTGTTCTCTGCAGGGTGGAAACGGCTCACTGTAGAAACAGGCTATCTTGAAAGCACCCAAAGAGCTTCAGGGAAATAGGGTTCAGAAAAAGACACTTGTGATATCACACAATAAACTATTTCCAAAGTTGATTTTTTAGCGGTTCAAAAACTCCATGAGTACAATAATTATTCTCTTCAGAGCTAAGTGAATGAATGCTTACCCTATGGGAGGCAGTTTGGGTAAGCACCCACCATGCTGTATCTGGTCTGTGCAACTTCTACAAATAAAGATCTGAGGCTGCTCACACTCTGTTTCGACCAGGATTCTCTGCTAATGAGGCTATTTAATATCAGAACTTCAAGAATATCTGCCAGTGGCCCTCAGTGTGTGGATCTAGTTATTACAAACTACCCCCTCATCGAACTTCATTCCTTCTCTGAGAAACTGAAGTAACAGCAGCTTATCATTGCCAAGAAACAAACAAACAAACAAACAAGTCATGCTTCCTATAAAATATCCTCAAGCTGATGCAGAGCAAATTCAAATAAAAGATTGTAGATGGGGAAGCTGCCTGAGAAAAGTGTCATTTAGTTCAAGAGGAGTGAACTAAATGTGTCATTTAGTTCATTCAAGTGTCATTTAGTTCATTTAGTCAAAAGTTCAAGAGGAGTTTCTAGTAGTTTTATGTTTCCAGGTGGGGCAGGGTTGGGGAGAGGGAGGCAGAAAAGAGACCTGATCTGAAACTTAACTAACACAACTGAGGCAACATCAACCCTGGATTGCTCTCAAACCCCCATCTCACCCCCAGGTCCTGCCAATCGTGGTTTTCTTCAGCACGGTCATGTCCATGCTCTACTACCTCGGGTTGATGCAGTGGATCATTAGAAAGGTACTGGGTCTTGAAGGGACTGGCTGCTTCTTTCAGGGACAAAGTCTTAGATGCCTTTTATCCAGCATTTTCCAAAGTGCCTTTCTGTTTGTGCCAAGATCCACCACCACCACCCCTCCACCCCAAGGTATTAGACCCAAACCAAAAAATCTTACATGTAGCCACTGAGGGAATTTTATCTTGGGGATTTCTAACGGGGCTTTGACTTGCAGCCAGTGGTTACCGGCTATCTTCATAAAACCTCAGTAATTACTTCTTTAGCCAAATAATTGACTCCAGCAGAGCTGACACCTGTGGACAGAACAGCATCCTTCCTTCGTCCTGGCTGTCTACCCTGTGCCTTACACAGAATCCCTACTTATCCTCAGGACGTTGCAAAAGTGGAGACTCCTGGTCTAGGAGTGGCTACAGGATCAAAGCAAAAAGAGAGAAGCTACTTTTTGTTTCTGAGGAAGTTTTATAAGCACACACACACACACACACACACACACACACACAAGGTCTGAAAATTTCATCTCATTTCTGCCACTCCAGCGTCAGTTCTACACTTGTGTTAAATTGCAACATGAGGAAATTTGCAAGTTAGTTCAAATGCACACACACAAACGGGGCAGTGCATACAGAGTTTGGGCACAGCCATTGCCCTCCTTTGATCCTTGTAAATAAATAAAAGAGAGGGAGGTAAGAAGGGAGAGAGAGAGAGAGAGAGAGAGAGAGAAAGCAACAGAACACCAGCAGAATCCAGAATGTCAGCAAGAGTGTGCCAGAACCCGTGATTTTCTGATTGCTGACCTGAACACGCAGCATTATTGTGCTCATGTCTAAGCAGAAAGGAAGGAGAGAATGCAACAGGAAGTTTCCATCCTGAGGTGGGCACCACAGTCTCTAGTTGGAAGGGCCAGTAGAGAAGCAGGACCATAAACCATGTTCATTTGAGAGTTAAGTAGAAAGGTCCAAACCTCATCCCACTACTTATTAACTGGGTGATCTTAGACAAAACAACTAAACTGTTCTATGCCTCAGATTCCTTTTCTATAAAATGGCCATAATTATAGGACCTCCGTCAAAGGGGTATTATAATAATTAAATGCATTACATGGATCAAGAGCTTAAAACAGTGCTTGGAATGCAGTAAAGCCTGTCAAGAATGTAAGTAATTATTAGAATTTATTATTCTCATACAGTGTTTCAGTACAGATTTGTTTCTATAGTGAATGTATAAATTCAAGGCAAATACAATGACTCAGCCTTACCACTCAAATAGGAGGATTTGATGGGCCTACTCTGTAAACTCTAGATAAGATATACTCACACTTAGCACCATCACTGGCCTGCCAACAATTGTTGAAGGCATTTTCCTCCAAAGATTTTCATCCCTACTTTGAAGTTTTGTGTATACAAACAACTCTTCACTGACTTTGTCCCTTATCTCTTTTCAGGTTGGATGGGTAATGCTAGTTACTATGGGATCATCTCCTATTGAATCTGTAGTTGCTGCTGGCAATATATTTGTTGGACAGGTAAGTTGTAATCTCAAAACAAAACAAAACACCTGTTGAAATGGATACTCTTACCAGAAATTAGAGTAAGAAATATAATATTATAAATATACTGGTGTTATTTTTTTTTATGTGTCAGCAGAAGGGTGTCAAAATAAGGAGCCCTCAGCATTGACAATGTCTAGATTCCAGCAAGAAAAAAGAGTGTACGAGAATGATCCCTTCCAAGTGTCCCAGTGCACTAGTGTAAAATTTGGGTTCTTGAAAGTGTATGGAGAAGAAAGACGGAAAATCATTTTATCAAATTAGCAAAGCACTGGGCTCCTCCCGTTCTCAACCAATCTTTTCTGAATTAATTGAATTGTTGAGGTCTCTGATCCACCCTTCAGAGGCTAACAGGTCACCCACTCCTGTGGAGTTCACCACTTATTCTGAAGCTGCAAACATGTAACAGGGAGCCTCACATTCTGTGGTATAATGCTTGTGGTAATGAAAGAGACCAAGAAAGACTTTTCACCAATAACCCTGCAGCCGTATAAATACTTGAGATTATTCTCAACTTGTCTGAACTGGCCAACAGTCTGTCTTGGCTGGGCCTGAAGAAAAATGCTGATGAGCAAAAGCATTCTCATCCTTCTGATCCATCACATGGGTAAGTGTTTTGCCTGAAGCCCATTTAAGCAAGGAAGTATGCTGCTAGGGGGTGTCCTTCAAAACAGCAGCATTCCTATGGGGAGAATAAGTAAGATATGGTAATCATCCTCAATGCTCAGGGTATGTGGCTTTGGGAAAAATGGAATCACACACCCAGGAACCAAAGTATGAATGCTTGCCAGCACAGCTACTCAAGGAAATTGGATTTGAAGCAAAAAGCAACTCACCCAGAGAAGCACATGGCTCCAAGTCTGAGGCTTAGAATTGTTCCAGGCAGGCTGAGCCTTATTGGTAAGCCCAGCATGCTAGCCTGGAGTATAGTCTTTAGGGCAGGGCCCAGACTTCCTTCCCTAGGAGTTGAAATTATTATAATTATAGTCATAAAATCTCTCAGGACTAATTAGAACACCATCTTGACTTGATTACTCCTACCTGCGGGGTCAGAGGACTCATGTACTGAGTTTCTATTTAGTCCATGAAGTGAAGCTCAATACATTCAATCTTACAGAACAATTACAAATAATGAGGGGAAAATTGTAAAATTGCACACATGCTTCTGTGGTGCTCAATGTTATACTTAATATGCTAAAAGTACAGCTATTATTTCTGGAGAGCCCTACATTGTGGGCTGTCTGTCCTCCTTAATGGGATTCAAGCCTTTACAACTACACCCTCTCTAATTCCTTTCTACCCATGGGGAAGAGTGGGGCCTCTGAATTTCAACTAGGAAAGCGCCTGTGGGCACCTGCCCTTGCTATTGCTCGTATTTTTTTTATACTTGTGTCTCTACTTCCCTGTGGTTTAAGCAAAGAGGTTTATGGTCTGTCATAATGAAGCTGGAAGATGGGAGATCACAGTGACTTGGAAATCACCAGTTCAGAAGAGCAGGGCACAGTTACTTGGGCAATAGTGTTCCAACCTTAGAAAAATGTACCTGGCCATCAGACTCCAATCCTAGGTTGGTGGGGGCCGTGTATGAATTGGCCTTGCAAACTTTGCAAACCTCACACATAACTCTATATGCACACTGACAGAGTTCAACGACCCAGACATCGACGGTATGGGTTCTCAAATGAGCATGCCTCAGAACCACCTGGAAGGCTTGTTCACACACGATTGCTCGTCCCATTCTCAGCGTTGCTGAAGCGATTGAGTCTGAGAATTTGCATGTCTGACAAGTTCCCAGGTGATGTTGATGGAGCTGGTCTGTGGTTCACTCTTAGAAATACTGCTTTAGAAAATGGAATCTTGAGTAGATTGGAACACCTTCCTAAGATTTAAAAGGGGACGTTTAACCTGGTCTCACTTTGTTCCAGACGGAGTCTCCACTGCTGGTCCGACCCTACTTACCACACATCACCAAGTCTGAACTCCATGCAATCATGACCGCTGGGTTCTCTACCATTGCTGGAAGTGTGTTAGGTGCATACATTTCTTTCGGGGTAAGAATGTTTGAAGATAAATTTATGGAAAATTCAACCTCTTCTTTCTTTGCTGCTGTTGTTTCTGTGTTTTCTCTACCACTGCTGCTGGATAAGGAGGCCAAAAGAGTGTCCTTTTTGCTGAATATTTGGTCGTGGTTCCTTTGGCATTTGAATGGAGAGACCCTGAGGAGCTTTGTGGCTTCACTTTCAAAACCCTGCCACCTAAACGTGCATTATATCCGAATGTGGCAGAATGAAATCATATTATCAGCTTATTTTGGCTGAACATTCAAATATTTAAAAACAACAACAAAAAAAAAAACCCTATTACTGTCTCTAGTAAAGGCAGTGTAGACCAGAGGTCAGCAAGGTATGGCCCCTGGGACAAACTCGATTGCTCCCTTTTTTGGTAACTAAAGTTTGACAGGAAACCAGCTACTTCTCTTCACTTCTCTTTGGCAGCTTTCATGCTACA